ACAAAGCTATCATGTTGACAGTTGCTTTTACTGGAAAATGCTCTCATTTTTTAACAAAGGCATATGAAAAGAGTTACTACTGAAAGTGACAGAATTACCTTCAGCCAATAGAGGGATTTGTGCTCCATAAATTCGGTGTCTGTCAATATATTATTTAGAAACCATTTAGAAAGAATCACAACAACTGAAAACACAGCTCACATCACTGAAGAGATCATTAATGGGGTTTTTAAAGGTTTTTAATTATTTTGAATAAAGCAAATATTACTACACACACACACAACACACTTTAAAGATTGGTCTTTTATAGCAAGTTCAGAATGTTGTTTTCTAATTTAAAAAATGCTTTCTAAGAGATCATCTGGAGGTCTGCTTCCAAGGATACCGAGAACTTGGACTCTTCCAGGATTGATTTATGGACAGGTTAATTGCAGTGATACTGTAATTGCAGACCAGGAAGAATAGCCGTCCCGTGACCAAAAGATAAATGTCACTCACACACCAGTGGAAGGTGGTGTGTTTTCACTGCCTGAAAGTGAAGTACACAGCACTATATCAAAACTAACAGACACCACAACTAAATTGCAGGTCCACAACATATAAGAAAGGTCATTCCGTGCAAAACCAATTCATAATTGATTATGATACGCAAGGATGCTCGCCGATATTGCTTTTCAGCTCCAATGGTTAACCTCATTTAAACTGCCAGATATTACCATATACGTTGAATTTCCACAATATTAGACATTCACAAAATGGTCTGTAGCTGACAAAGCAACTACTGGGTTATATGAGGTCTTGAATATGAAACTAGGTACTCTATTAGTGTCTCTTTCTCAGAGCTCAGCAAAAAAATGATGAGCTCAGGACTTCTGTTCAGATATGTTGTGCTCCCTGAGTGAATCCAAGTGGTCGCATCTGTGCGCAGAAGCTGTCGGTCTGTCCTGCTCACAGTACAGTTTTCCATTTGTGTAGTGAAAACGGTCACCAGGTACTAGCTGGTTATGGCAGATGGAGCATACAAAACACTACAAGAGTAAAGAAAGAAATGACTGTGAGGAAAACATATTACAAGGCACCCTGTCCCCCCCAAAACACACTTCAGCATATCAACCTAGACAAGGAGTAAAAATGTAGATCATTTTTAATGAACTGTATTTAAATGAGTCAGTTTAATAAATTACCTTGACATGGAAAACATTGCCCTGTGCTCGCATAACCATTTCATTTGCAGGGATGGACTTACTGCAAGCCCTGCAGGCTCCGCTGTGACCAAACAATCTGTAGTGAACATCATAATCACAAATATATCTTTTAATAAGCAAGTCTATTTGAACGTTTGCCTATAATTTTTCCTCATTTAATGGGATAATTCACCCAAAAATGAAATTCTGTCATCTTAATCACCCTCATGTTGTTTCTAACCTGTATGCATTTCTTTCTTTTGCAGAACACAAAAGATATTTTGAAGAATGATGATTTTTTTAAAAACAGTTTACGTTCCCAATGACTTACATTTTTTTTTCCATACAATGGAAGTCAATTGGAACTGAAAGTGTTTAGATCCCAACATTCTTCAAAATATGTTTTCCACAGAAAAAAAAAAAAAAGAGTCAAACAGGTTTGGGACAACATGACGGTGCGTACATGACAATTTTCTTTTTTGGGAGGACTATCCCTTTAAGTCAAACCCCATATTTTCTTTACTACAGTGCCAGAAGACTTATTAGATGTATGGTAGAATTTCTCTCATTTGTCTAGTAAATTTGTTAGCTCAGGGTGTGAATGATAGTAAATTATAGAGGATGACAATAACAAAACAGAGTGTTGATCCTGTAGTCTGTATAACTGATTAATTATAGTCTAAATAAAGAAATGTCTTTATGTGTGTGTGTGTGTGTGTGTGTGTGTGTGTGCGCGCGTGCTTGTGTGTGTGTGCGTGTGTGTATGTGTGCATGTGGGTGTTCTGTGTGAGTGTGTGGAGGAGGGTGCTTTCAACCTAGATATAGTTATTGCTGCAGGCTTTGGTAGCTATATATTGAAACGTCCCCTCTAGTTCACATGCCAGACACAAAGAGCATCCAAGGGGGGAATATTCAATTAGACACAACATCCACATCACAAATCCTGGTCTAATTTTAATCTCAGTTTCTGTGCTTTCATTTTCTACACATCAGAAGGCAAGTTTATCTCATGATTTATTGTCACCTGAACCCTGAGGATGAACTCTACAAATCGCAACTGCCTTTGTATGACATTTTTCTATTATTTGCAGTCAGGGTGGCTGAAATATACTGAACAAAATTATAAACGCAACACTTTTGTTTTTGCCCCCATTTTTCATGAGCTGAACTCAAAGATCTAAGACTTTTTCTATGTACACAAAAGGCCTATTTCTCTCAAATATTGTTCACAAATCTGTCTAAATCTGTGTTAGTGAGCACTTCTCCTTTGCCGAGATAATCCATCCACCTCACAGGTGTGGCATATCAAGATGCTGATTAGACAGCATGATTATTGCACAGGTGTGCCTTAGGCTGGCCACAATAAAAGGCCACTCTAAAATGTGCAGTTTTACTGTATTGGGGGGTCCGGGGGGGTCCGAAAACCAGTCAGTATCTGGTGTGACCACCATTTGCCTCACGCAGTGCAACACATCTCCTTCGCATAGAGTTGATCAGGTTGTTGATTGTGGCCTGTGGAATGTTGGTCCACTCCTCTTCAATGGCTGTGCGAAGTTGCTGGATATTGGCAGGAACTGGAACACGCTGTCGTATACGCCGATCCAGAGCATCCCAAACATGCTCAATGGGTGACATGTCCGGTGAGTATGCTGGCCATGCAAGAACTGGGATGTTTTCAGCTTCCAGGAATTGTGTACAGATCCTTGCAACATGGGGCCGTGCATTATCATGCTGCAACATGAGGTGATGGTCGTGGATGAATGGCACAACAATGGGCCTCAGGATCTCGTCACGGTATCTCTGTGCATTCAAAATGCCATCAATAAAATGCACCTGTGTTCGTTGTCCATAACATACGCCTGCCCATACCATAACCCCACCGCCACCATGGGCCACTCGATCCACAACGTTGACATCAGCAAACCGCTCACCCACACGACGCCATACACGCTGTCTGCCATCTGCCCTGTACAGTGAAAACCGGGATTCATCCGTGAAGAGAACACCTCTCCAAAGTGCCAGACGCCATCGAATGTGAGCATTTGCCCACTCAAGTCGGTTACGACGACGAACTGCAGTCAGGTCGAGACCCCGATGAGGACGACGAGCATGCAGATGAGCTTCCCTGAGACGGTTTCTGACAGTTTGTGCAGAAATTCTTTGGTTATGCAAACCGATTGTTGCAGCAGCTGTCCGGGTGGCTGGTCTCAGACGATCTTGGAGGTGAAGATGCTGGATGTGGAGGTCCTGGGCTGGTGTGGTTACACGTGGTCTGCGGTTGTGAGGCCGGTTGGATGTACTGCCAAATTCTCTGAAACGCCTTTGGAGATGGCTTATGGTAGAGAAATGAACATTCAATTCATGGGCAACAGCTCTGGTGGACATTCCTGCAGTCAGTATGCCAATTGCACGCTCCCTCAAAACTTGCGACATCTGTGGCATTGTGCTGTGTGATAAAACTGCCTTTTATTGTGTGGCCTTTTATTGTGGCCAGCCTAAGGCACACCTTTGCAATAATCATGCTGTCTAATCAGCATCTTGCTATGCCACACCTGTGAGGTGGATGGATTGTCTTGGCAAAGGAGAAGTGCTCACTAACACAGATTTAGACAGATTTGTGAACAATATTTGAGAGAAATAGGCCTTTTGTGTACATAGAAAAAGTCTTAGATCTTTGAGTTCAGCTCATGAAAAATGGGGGCAAAAACAAAAGTGTTGCGTTTATAATTTTGTTCAGTGTATATAAAGGACAAATCCTCAATGAATCAATATTTCTCATCAGAAACATGGAGTCAGACTGGTTAAGAAGGCAGAAGCATAGAATGTACATGAATCAGTTACAAGAAAATATTCATATTACAATAAGGAATGGTCTTAAACATGACATTCAGCACAACACTGAGGCTTTAATAATGTATAGTGTATTTTATTATTTTTTCTGTAAACAATAATAAAATGTTTTATAAAATGTTCTCTGAGTTTTTTTTTTTCTAAACTGATAATTCAACAGATTAATTCTGCACAAAGCTATCATGTTGACAGTTGCTTTTACTGGAAAATGCTCTCATTTTTTAACAAAGGCATATGAAAAGAGTTACTACTGAAAGTGACAGAATTACCTTCAGCCAATAGAGGGATTTGTGCTCCATAAATTCGGTGTCTGTCAATATATTATTTAGAAACCATTTAGAAAGAATCACAACAACTGAAAACACAGCTCACATCACTGAAGAGATCATTAATGGGGTTTTTAAAGGTTTTTAATTATTTTGAATAAAGCAAATATTACTACACACACACACAACACACTTTAAAGATTGGTCTTTTATAGCAAGTTCAGAATGTTGTTTTCTAATTTAAAAAATGCTTTCTAAGAGATCATCTGGAGGTCTGCTTCCAAGGATACCGAGAACTTGGACTCTTCCAGGATTGATTTATGGACAGGTTAATTGCAGTGATACTGTAATTGCAGACCAGGAAGAATAGCCGTCCCGTGACCAAAAGATAAATGTCACTCACACACCAGTGGAAGGTGGTGTGTTTTCACTGCCTGAAAGTGAAGTACACAGCACTATATCAAAACTAACAGACACCACAACTAAATTGCAGGTCCACAACATATAAGAAAGGTCATTCTGTGCAAAACCAATTCATAATTGATTATGATACGCAAGGATGCTTGCTGATATTGCTTTTCAGCTCCAATGGTTAACCTCATTTAAACGGCCAGATATTACCATATACGTTGAATTTCCACAATATTAGACATTCACAAAATGGTCTGTAGCTGACAAAGCAACTACTGGGTTAATTAGTGTCTCTTTCTCAGAGCTCGGCAAAAAAAATGATGAGCTCAGGACTTCTGTTCGGATATGTTGTGCTCCCTGAGTGAATTCAAGTGGTCGTTTCTGTATGCAGAAGCTGTTGGTCTGTCCCGCTCGCAGTACAGTTTTCCATTTGTGCAGTGAAAACGGTCACCAGGTACTAGCTGGTTATGGCAGATGGAGCAAACAAAACACTACAAGAGTAAAGAAAGAAATGACTGTGAGGAAAACATATTACAAGGTACCCTGTCCCCCCAAAACACACTGCAGAATATCAGCCTATAAACCAGGAGTAAAACTACAGATCATTTTTAATTGACTGCATTTGAATGGGTCAGTTTAATAGAGTAAATTACCTTGACATGGAAAACATTGCCCTGTGCTCGCATAACCATTTCATTTGCTGGGATGGACTTACTGCATGCCCTGCAGGCTCCGCTGTGACCGAATAATCTGTAGTGAATATCATAATCACAAATATGTCTTTTAATAAGCAAGTCATTATAATTTAATTAGCAAGTTTTTTTTCCATCTCTCACAAACACAGGAAGGCATTTAAGCGTTTAAATCTACATATAGTATAGCTATTTGAATTTTTGCTTACTTCGTTTCCTCTATTAAAAGGATAGTTTAACCAAAAATTTCATTCTGTCATTTACTTTTTTTAACCATACAATGAAAATCAGTGGGGTCCATTGTTGTTTTGGGCCCAAATTACTTTAATTGAAAAACAATTGAAACATACAGTATTTAAAACATCTTCTTTTGTGTTTCCCTTAAAAGGATATTCACCCAGAAATTAAAATTCTGTCATCATTTATTCACCCTTATTTTTTTTTTTTCAAACCTGTATGCATTTCTTACTTTTGATATACACAAAAGATGATATTTTGAAGGATCATGATAACCAAACAGCTCCCATTCCCAATCAATAACATTGTATTTTTTCGTCTATACAATGGAAATCAATTGAAACCGAAAGTCTTAAGTTCCCAACATTCTTCAAAATATCTTCTTTTGTGTTCCACAGAAAAACGAAAGTTATACAGGCTTGGAACAACATGAGGGTGAGTAGATGACACTTTTTTTTTTTTTTTGGAGGACTATCATTTTAAGCCTAACACCGTTTTTTTTTTTTACTATACTTCCAGAAGACTTATGAGATGTATAAAAGAACTGCTCTCATTTATCTAGTATATTTGTTAGCTCAGGGTGTGAATGATGGTAAATTATCGAGGATGACAATAACAAAACAGAGTGTTGTTCCTGTAGTCTGACCTTATATAGTCACTTTTGCATAGGATCAAGCCACGCTTTGTGAAACACGATGAGCCAATTTCTGCCAGCTGGGCTTGACAACAGGAGCACTTGAGACAGTGGCAGTGCCAGAACCCATCCAAAGCAAACAGGAGGAAGCGGTCTGAAATCTTGCATCCACATCCAATGCACCACTTCCATGCCAGGGCCCCCATTCTGACATGAGGCGGTTGTGCATTACAAGCAGTGTTTACCATAATAAATGGGTCACTACCTGGAACAGAATGCATGTAAACTGAAAAGATGTTTCAGTTAACTGGACAACAAATACAAACTGTATTCAATTAGTTTATAAGTAGACAATAAATTAACCAGAGGGCCTCTATCTATATGACACTGACAGATACACAATCTTGTTAAAGTAAACAAGTTCAACTCACTCACCTGCTTCACAACTTCATGCTTTCACAGACTCATCAATATCGCGTTCAGTCTGTCAGTTCGGATAGACGCAGACACCCGTTCATTTCATGTCTTTAGGCAAAAAGGAAAGGTCATAAACATATATAATATAACTTCGTTTACCTACATTTAAATGACCTCTCGCTTGCATCTCCTCATGAGGTCTGAACGCTGCAAGTTAACGGCGCTCGTTACGCAGACTTCTATCCCCTTTAAACATCCGTGAGGTGACGTCAGGCTCGCTTCAGCCAATCAACAGTCACTTAAATTTTAGTCTCGTGCTGAAGCAGCCCAGCAGATGCAGATGCTAAATTATTGATGCTATCAACATCTGAATGGCGCATTCGTCACTTGCACTGACATTTCACTATATTTAATGTACTATTTCAATTTTAATTGTAAATCACAAAATTAGCTGGCAGAAATTGATTTGTCAAAGTGACTTGAAGAAGTTTAGAAGAACTGCCTCACATTTCTCATTCCGAGTCATTTACAATGGGGCCTAATCACCCATATTAAAGACCTGATTACAGCACACACACAGAATCATGGCCAATCAAATCACTATGAAAAGAAACCTTGACAGCAGTCTGATTGGTTGGTAATAGAAAATCATACTTGAGAAAAGGATCTTGCCTTTCTTATCATCGGTCTGTCATTTAGCCATGATTACCATCAGATTAAATACAATCAAAGCAGTTTGGGTGAAAAGTGGTAGTAATGGGAACCAGCGAAAACTGTTTATCTTGTCAAATGATCTTAATTCAAACCTGCACACTCTAGATTACAGAGATGTAGGAGCTGAGAGGGGGTTGTGTTTGTCGGCTTCTGTCGCTCATTATGGTGTATTATGTCACTATTCAATGCAGAAAATTAGTCTCTGATGACATGACGAAGCCGTAAGAGTGGCTTGGTGTTGATATATAGTGTGCTGTTTACTTTGAGGAACTAAAACCTTCTAACTCCATGTTTAGTTTTATTTCGAGGCTGCTAATATCTGCAGTTGCACTCTGTTTGTCACATATTCCCTATTTGGTGTCATGGTTTTGGGCTTTTATGTTGAAGGTTAGGTGTTGGTTGTCTTCCCTAGCGTTTAGTTGGTGTTCTCTGTTCTGGTTCTTGTTTGCTTTCTGGTTTTGATCAGTCTTCTGGACATTTTTTTTTATTTCTCTTTAGTTTATCTCATTTGGATCCAGTTCTCCCTTGTTTCCGAGTTCACCTCTGTGTTGTTGTTGTATGAGAAAAAATACATTATACACCTATTAAAAAAAACTGTTAAAATGACAACAAACAAACAAAAAACACGGTAGCTCTGTCATTTCTGGTTGCCTGAAATTCACTGTCAAAAGTATGTGACAATGTTTCAGGTATTATGGCATATTAGTGCCTGAACATTAAATGATATGATATAATGTTAATATACCAAAATCTGCTTTTTACCTTAAAATGTACTGATAACCATAATAAAACAGCTAGAATAGAAAGTCACATGGTAAATCAGAGTTGTAAGTGGCCTGTCTATTAAACATGGCCAGTACTGGTAAATAAACGTGCACAGGATCATACACACAAAGAAAATACATAGGCACAGCACAAATACATTTTTTATTTTTATTTTTTTAATGTAATGCAAAACACACTAATATACATGATATACATAATATACACCATGATATAAAAAGAACAACATGTATTTAGAATGTAAGCATATATAATACCACGCAGAGACTTCAGGGAATGTACTTTTACTGTTGCTTTTTTAACATAACATTTATAGTAATTTGATTTCATTTTTAATTGCAAAAACCATAAATTTGACAGTATATTACCGTAAAAATATGTATAATATAATATTAAACCATTTACAGTTTTCACCTTATATCGTAAGGTAAGGGAACTTACAGTAACAAATTTTTACTGTGACATTTTTACTTTTTATTGTTATACTTCCGTTTACCCCTACCCAATATTAAAAAGAGACATATGGACACATGTAGATGTGAATGAACCAGACTGGTTCACAAATGAAACTATGAATGTTCTGCATGAGCTATTACTTTTTTTCAGCCCCTATTGTTGGTTTTGCCTGTCTAGATTTCCCGTAAACGAGACCAGCAACCCCCCATCTCCTGGATCATTATGTTTATGTAATGAGGTCACAGTCGTTGATCTAATGGCGGAGTGCAAAGTTTGAAATACGTGTGGGAAGGGGGGCGTAATGGAAAATAAGTCATTTGCTCCACAGCTCCATTACTTTAATTGTTTACTGAGCAGAGGCATGTTGTGATGTTTCAGGTAAAGCACAGGAGTCACATTAACAAAAGAGCGTGAGCTGTCTGAGCACATACAGTTAGATAAACATCAGATGGAAAGCGTAAGACAAGCGTGGCCTCATTATTTCTTTTGAGCACAAGATTTTCGACAACATGATGTGCATTTCTGTTCTGGTAATTAGAAGGACATTTCCAAACAAATCTACCGAATTACTTTAGCTGGTTATTTTAACGAAACAATTTCCCCCTGATTAATGTATCCTTTCCCCACTGACGATAGCCAACAATTATGATGTTCATTAAAAATGAAGGGAAGCTCGACTGTCGATCAAACACAGAAAGGGATTGTTTGAAAGGCCCTTTATTTGTTGCTGTGACAGCTCAATCACCCATCATGATCTAACAGGGAGGTAAAAACCGCCGACAATGACCCTCAGAGGCTACAGGCAGCCCTTCATTTGAGTGCTAATTAGAAAAATTATATCTCTGAAAGGCAGCCTGCTATCTGTTCCCAGTATGTTGAGAGAGACAAACTGAAGAGACAACAATGAGTTAATAGGAAAATTAATTATTTACACTATTATCTAGGCCAGGCCATTGAAAGAATGACTCAATAATGCTTTAATTGTGTTGCTGATTACATTTTCACTGAGATAGACTCGAAAGCTTATCAAAAGCTCTGTTTATTAAATGTATGTGCTCAGATGAGATAACATGGATATTGCAGCGGTGCACAGCACAGCTTCAGCACATCTTGTGTGTTTCCCCTTAATATAATGTCAGTGGTGAGCACTTCTGTGGAAGAGGAGAGGTTACAGCAATGGGTTACACCAAGTTATTTTAGAGCAAAGATGTTTGTGGTGGTTAAAAATGTTTTTTTTTCTATGAAAAGACATACATGGACCATCAGTCAAAGTATGGGGGTCAGTAATCTATAGTTTTAAAGAAATTAATACATTTATTCAGTAATGATGCAATGAATTGATCAAAAGTGGCAGTAAAGACAGTTTTTAAATAAATGCTTTTCTTTTGGAACTTTCTATTCATCAAAGAATCCTTAAAAAGCGGTCCTAAAAATATGAATATTTTTTCAACATTAGACAATAAAATGCTTCTTGAGCAGCAAATCAGCATATTTTAATGATTTCCGAAGGATCATGTGACATTTAAGACTGGAGTAATGACTGCTGAAATTCAGCTTTACCATCCCAGGACTAAATTACATTTTAAAATATATTAAAATGGAAAACAGCCATTTTAAATGTTATTATTTCATGATATTACTGCTTTTAATGTATTTTTGATCAAATAAACATGAAAAAAATCTAATCTTTTTGTTTAATGTTTCATTTGTGTTTGTGTCGTTAGTAACAAAAAAGAAGGTGAAGAATATTAAATAAAATATAAGCCTCCATATATTTTTGTTTCTCCTTTGTTTAAAAAAAAAAAGAAAGAGTACTTTTAGAAGACAGAAACAGTCTGTGATATTTTATCAGAATTATAATGATAAGGGAATAACAGAGAAGGAAAAAAATCGAAATAAATCAACTCTTTTTATTATGGCCGACATATCCAAAAATCTGTTTTCAAATCTACCTCAGCAATGTCAACAGAAAAGAGCAAAGCTCCTGGAGTCTCATTAATTTGAAATGAAAAAAAACAACAACAACCAAAGAACAGAGCAAATACAGGCTCACACGGTGGCACTGTGAAAGAAAAGAGAAATATTAAAACCGATATATATTTCATATGCACAGGTTACTCTAGTGTTTCATATACAGTACAGATTGTTTTTGATGCTCTAAAAACATCTAAAAGAACATGTACATTGTCAAAACATTTTTTTACGTAGCAAGGGAGAATTTGTCACAAAGACCTACTGTTCTACTGATATTTTGTCTTGGAGATTTTAATAAGGGCAAATGTGCAATCCAGCACCCATTTCATGCACAAATGTGTGTTTAATAAAGATCCTGTACATATAAACACTGGAATTGTACAGACAAATTTCCATTTTCAAAAAGACATCAGTTCCAGTCTTGTAGTACCATCAACAAGGCAAACAATTTCACATGATGGCTGCCTATTTCCACATTGATGTTAATAATGACAATCTATGCAACTGTACCTACATTTCACCTTGTAAAACAACTCCTCACCTATTCATATGCTGAGATATCAAGTCATATTTACACTGGCTGTAATAACAGCTCCGTGTTACAGAAAAAAAAGGCACAATCTCGATGAATTTCTTTCATTGAATACATTTAAAGTCCATGATCTCTAAATCAAAGCAGCAGACAAATGGTATGTTGCCACGAGAAACAAAGTATGTTTAAACTACATAAAAAAAACATGATAATTCAGTCATAAAATATATAAAAGCAAATTAAAACAAACCGAGAACAAGTAACAGTACACTGATCCACATGCAGATAAACATTTCATCTTCAATTCTTTATCCTCCCATTTTTAAATGTTTTGGTCCAGCTGTAACGGTAATGACCAGCATTTACATATATTTGTAGATAAAAATATATTATCTGCAATTGCTGAAAAAATGCAAGACTGAACCCCAAGCAGAAGGTTCTCTTTTAAAAATGGCAAACTGAAAAATGTGGAGAATTGTTTCTGGTATTTCAAAGACAAGATATACGATGCGTTTTTAACCATGTGAAGTACATCCACATCTGTGTTTTTCCAATAAATCCTATAAATAGCCTTATGAAAGTCCAAGAAATAAAGTATTCCTCATTTTACTATATTGGAAAAAATGACTTTGTCAGC